GTTTACGAGCATAAATCCTTTTTTAGACAGAAAGCCACCGGAGCCCATTGTTTCGATGGGGGGCGGCCGAACAAAGAAATAGCCGACTAGCACGAGTCTGTTTTTTCGTTCAATACGAACTCTACTTTCGGTGGTTCGGAATATCCACCTTACTAAATTTAAAGCGGGCAATTTCGTTAAATTCTAGAAATCAACCACAACAAAAGAAGAAGAAGAAGAAAATCTCAACTCCATATCTCGACGATGGAGCCATATATTTCCTCCCCCAGCTTTATTCGCTCGTGAGTACAGTCTGTCATTAACAAAAGAGACGTGCGAGATCGGAGCGAGGTTGCGACAAGAGGACGAAAAGATAACGATGATGATTAGTTCGACTAATCATGAAGCAACAACGCACGAATCGCAAAGATCACAGAGACTTGTCGGTCAAGCAAAGAGAAACGAGGACGGCGACGGCGACGACGGCGACGGGAGTAGGGTCTGCTTTTGACCCGTAGCTGCAGAGCATCAACAAAATCCCCGAATTTGGACAGGCGAAAAAGAAAAAAGCAAAGTTGATAAATGAAAAAGCGAAAAAGAAAAAGGAGGGGGAATTAAATGGAAATCCTAGTTCGGTCAGAGGAAAGAGATCGCTGACAAGATAGCCGGCCCGGTCCAATTAGCTTCGAAAGTAATGCGGACAAAAAACATCGGCCATTTTTTTTTCTTTTTTTCTTTTTTCTTTTTTTGTTTTCGAGACGATGGGAGATTTGGACCGGTCTTAACGGCAAGTTGGTTAGTTGGTCACGAAATCTTTCTGTGTCTCCGTGCATGTGCATGTGGGGCCCCGCAAAGATCCTGCTTTTGTCACGCTTGTTCCTTCATTATTACGTTTAACGGAAAACAAAAAGCATTTTCTTTTCATTTACCGTCGATAATTCGATATACTTGAGCTAATTTTCTATGCAAAAACAAAATATGTAAATTTACGCGTTAACATTTGAGTACTAAAAAAAGTCGAACTTCGTTCATTGCAAAATTCAAATTAAGTAAAAAAATAAAAATTAAATGTCTTGGCGGTTCTCTTTTCTTCTTTTTTGATTTATTTTCGGTAGCTCGATTCGCCTCCCTTCCTAACAATTTTTCAGCATTCATTTAGAGTGTTGTTTTTTCCATGTAAGCTGAGTTGAGCGATTCACGGAAGGGGTGGCTTGGGCCGATCTGAAAGAGTTGGAAATTGATTGACGGGCAGCACCCATAACTGGAGTCACGGGAGAGGCTAAGCTAAGCCTCTCCTTCCTCGACCTCATGCCATGCTTCCTCCTTGGCTTCTTGGGCGTCGAAGCGTTTGAATCTAGCAATGTTACCACCCAGATCTGGTGCGTCGGCTTGGTCAGTGCAGATAGCCAAGCTTCATTCTCATATGGCAAGACCTCTATAGAAACGAAGGCAAAGAGATGATGGAGAGAGAGAAAATTCATAATAAAAAACGCAAGTTACATCAGCCGCTGACATGACACTTTAAAATCACTCGATATTTTATTGCGAACCATGGTTTTTTTCTTATAATCGCCATCTGAAAGCAATGTTGCATCCAACACAATTTTTCACCATTTTATGAACTAGAGGTTATCTATTCAAATCCTGTGCACGCACTGCCCGGATCAAGGCCATCCGTAGAGATCGAAGGTCTGAATCCAATAGATTCACGAGCCTTGCGGGATATTCTAGGGGCCTCTAAGATAGACAAGGTGTCTACGCTCGTGCGCCGGAGTTATAGGAAGCTGCACTTGAATTGCATGCGAATCCGTAAGTCACTTATCTAAGGCTATATGCCTGGAAGACGTTAAGCGGAGGAAATTTCCTATTTCTTTCTCGCAAAAACAAAAGATTTGAAGTTTCTTCACATTTTCGCAGAACACGCCCGAGGGACAAAAACTCTTCGAGTCATCGTCATCAGAGGTGAAGTTGCAGAGCGACCCTCCTCTCTTCCTCGATTCAGAGCAGGTTTGCAGGCTTCAGAAAACCTGCGGATCAAAAGGAATATTTCCATTCACCCGATTCATCAATGCCTTGGGCATCGTTTTAATGATACGAAATCCGCGCAGATGGGGGCTGCAAGGTTTCTCCCCCTCCCGATGCAAAGCATCAGCCCGTCTCTGTCAAATCTTGCGATGGCCCGAGATTTTGTCCTCTCGCTCTCGCCACGCCATGTTCGTTTCTGTCCCGTGAGGTTGGTTTCATCGGAGAAATCTCTCGGAAAAATCAGATGAAAACAAGAGAAAGAGGAAGGAGACAAGAGGCCAAATTGGACTTGAAAAGCTAGCGCGCGGGGGTAGTAGAGACAAAACGGTGGCATGTGCAGCCCTTACCGCACGGCTTTCAACCCGAACAACACCCGTGTATGCTTAGCGGATCTTTTTAACAAGTACCCCTACGATTAATAAGAATTAAGAAGAGTCGCGATTTTCGAATGTATTATTATTCTCGTGTTATATTTGATCGATACACGAGAAATGGAAAACTTTCTTGTTACGCCCAGACCGAGCGAGTTGTTGGATAAGATGTCTTTTCGCATTTTATCGTGCAATGCACCGGAAGAAGGACCTCTCGGATTCAAAATTTGATACTTGCTCTCTGGTTAAATCTGTCTACGGAGCAAAGACCCTCGAACTCGAATCTGAGAATGGTGGTGATTGAGTTGCGCCGGACAAAAGATGAAAATTCGAGTCTGACCATCTGAAGTTTTTTTTTACTTTTTGGTCACGGGTCGAGTCAGCTGCCCTTCTTCTTCTTCTTCTTCTTCACGGTCGCCGAGGCGCTCTTGGTTATGGTGGAGTCGTCCTGACGAGTTTGACCAGGCTCGGGGAAAGCTGTCGTCGATGGTGGTTGTGGAGGTGGTGGTGGATGGCCATGCACGAGCAGAGCATGGGCTTGAAGAAACCTAGGCCAAAGCCACCATCAAACGCTATGCGCATGCTGCGGGGCAGAGAGAGGGGAAGCTGAGCGCTTTGACCCCCCCCCAGGTTTGAAGAGCCGGTCGCCACGCGGAACGTTGGGAAGCGTGCACGGATGATTGGAGCCGGAGAAAAATTAATTAAAAATACTTTGATTAATTTGATCCAGTAAAAAAAAAAGAGAGGCTTTATTGCAAATGCGCCCGTGCTCGATCGAGTCGGGACATAAAGAGTAAAGAGTAACGCCACGCATGCTAAGAAGTTTACCAAAGAATTCCATACTAAATGACCCGACAACTTGTGTGGTACACGTCGTGTTGTCGTCGACGGAGAGATGCGAATAGTCGGCGATGTTTAGGGAGAAACCAAAAAGATGCAAAGGAGGGAAAGACAAGCGGGGCAAGTTCATGACGTTGGGCATCGGGATGAAATCGTGGTATCATCTTACGGAACGCACTCTCTGTCGCTCGCGTCTTGCTTCTTTCGTTTTTTAACGTTCAAGAACCACCCGACCTTCTCTTTCTTGAATCAAATCTATCGCCAACGTTTTCGTAGTATGGTGCGACCTGGACGATACACGTACTGCGTATATGCCAGATATGGAGCATCCGATTTATGTGATCTGCGATGCTCTCTCCCGTGTCAGATGTTAATTAATACATATAACTATTTCTTTGGCATGATACTTAGTATTTAATTTTGCTGGCTTAGAAGCAAAGTATTGCCGCTCAGATTTGGTGCAAAAAAGAAAAGAGGAAAAAAACCAGGTAGCGTTTGTCCGAAGGTTCAATACGGGATATGATACTCCAACAGCAAGAATCTCGGTCCTGCTACTTCGCCGAATCGACATGGAATCGTCCGTACTTACTTCCATTACTTGTACATTTCCCTTCCTCAGGTTGCTCATAGTTTAATTTTCTTTCCCTGTTTCAACTAGATCACACCACCAAAGTGGGTGGCTTCATGATGAAAGGGTTGACTTTTTTCCAACAAGGTCACGAGCCGGTCGCGTGGAAAGATCGCTCGAAATCTTGGTTGGGGCCGAAGAAGTGACGGGCTTCTGCCGCCCTCGAACCTTTGGATCGCAGGTGATACGTAATAGCTACAACCGAACGTTCCGTAGCAGACGTATGTGACCTTTACGATGACGTTCGGAGACAATCGAAAATGCCAGTCATCCTTTTTAATCATTTTATTCCCGTGAAAAGGGGATGGTTCCCACCAATCATGACCGTGAAAGCACACGTATATAAGCTAATTATGGTACGACAAAAAAGAAAGAAAAATAATGCAAAGACGTTACAAGATCGAAACAACGATTTCATACGATAAATGTCTTAAGGACACCAGTCAATTGCGCGCACGGATGCCGATTGCATGATCCCTTTACGCTCACGAATAGTGTTCCAATAAGAACACATTAAAAGGAGGATGGATTTGAATTCGAATTTCGAAATTCGAAAAGCCTACCTAGAGATCTCACGAGTCATGGCTAACGAGGATGGAAGGTCAAAAAAAGAGTAAAAACCAGAACAGGGAAAGGGCACAGAAGGGAATTCACCCCCCAAATCGACTCTAGTCTAGTTGCATGTGGGTGAGTCAGCGAGAAACGAATTAACCCCACTGGGCCCCACCTCCTTTTTTTCAATTTTTTTTTTTTTATTCGCTGGCAGTCCCCGAGGAAATTTCCCGCCGAGAAAAAATCACAAAACGACGCCCTAACCAGAAAAAGAAAATCAGTTAAAACAGCCCCTTTTTTCTGGAAAAAGAGAAAAACCCTAGGCACGATACGTGCCTAGGATTTTCACTGTCATGAGTCACTGAGAGTCTACCGCAGTAACTAATCTCCACCGCCTCCTCCTCTATTTTTTTTTCGGCAGCAAAGGTTTTGGTCCCTAGCAACATTGGTCGGTCAAAAAAAAAGAAAAAAGAAAAAGAGTTGGAGCCGAATTGTCCCGCCGGGAATTTTCTATATAACACCGTCAATTCCTTACCACTTTCTCTACACTCGCCCTCCACTCGCTCATCTCGCTCGCTCGCTGCTATAGTTTTCAGGACTCTCTCGTCAGTGTCTCTCGAGGTAAACCCCCATTCTTGAATTCGAAAAAGCGGTGTGAAATTTCTCAAATGGGGCTGCGCCCGCATTTTCTTTGGACACTGAGATTAATGCTAAATGCACCGTTTTTTGTGCAGGAGCGGGGGGGAAGAGAAATGGCTCTTGCTGGGTTGCTCGTGGTGGGCCTTCTTGCGACGGTGGCGTCGTCCGTCGACGGCTACGGTGGAGGAGGAGGCGGCTGGGTCAATGCGCACGCCACCTTCTACGGAGGCAGCGACGCTTCCGGCACAATGGGTATGATCGGTTCCTGATTCTCGTCGTTTTTTGGCAAAGCTTTTCGTAGCGAATCTTAGGGAATGGAGGGTAGGATGAGATTGGGCTTGGGCTGTCGAAAATAGTTTCATGTTTGGTCCAATTCGTGTCGATGACCGTGGAATCCTGTTCTGCTAGGCGGGGCGTGCGGGTACGGCAACCTGTACAGCCAGGGATACGGGACGAACACGGCGGCGCTGAGCACGGCGCTGTTCAACAACGGGCTGAGCTGCGGGTCGTGCTTCGAGATCCGGTGCGTGAACGACCAGAAGTGGTGCCTGCCCGGCTCCATCGTCGTCACCGCCACCAACTTCTGCCCGCCAAACAACGCCCTCCCTAACAACGCCGGCGGGTGGTGCAACCCGCCCCAGCACCACTTCGACCTCTCCCAGCCCGTCTTCCAGCACATTGCCCAGTACCGCGCCGGAATCGTCCCCGTCGCGTACCGAAGGTACTTGAAATCCGCTTTTTTTTCCCAACTAATTCCGACTTATATTTCGAGATCAAAAGCTCATTTCGCACCGGAACTGCTCGCGTCTCCACAGGGTACCCTGCCGGAGGGGTGGAGGCATCAGGTTCACCATCAACGGCCACTCCTACTTCAACCTCGTCCTCGTCACCAACGTCGGCGGCGCCGGCGACGTCCACGCGGTGGCCGTGAAGGGGTCGAGGACCGGGTGGCAGCCCATGTCCCGGAACTGGGGCCAGAACTGGCAGAGCAACGCCAACCTCAACGGCCAGTCCCTCTCCTTCAAGGTCACCACCAGCGACGGCCGCAGCGTGGTCTCCAACAACGTCGCCCCCGCCGGGTGGTCCTTCGGGCAGACCTTCGCCGGAGCGCAGTTCCGCTGAGGGCCCACACCTTACCCCCAAACACCAAACCTTCAATCAATCGATATAGTCATATAGCTGCTGCGAGGGTATGACCGAGTGGGAAGGATTTAATTCGTACACTAGGTTATTATATAATTACTATGCTATATAGTATAGGCATTGTCGGTCCAAAATGAAGGAGGGGCTAGTTTTAAATGGCCCCTTTTTTCTAATTTGGGTCATTAGTGATGATTATTAGGTCTCATTGGTGAAAAGTCCAAAGTTGTGATTTTTCCTTAGGGTGTCAGAAAGGTCATTTCGTTGCTCCTGCAATTCTGTGGCAATTGAATGCAGAAGCTTTTGGCAGAGGTGGAGACTTACCACCCGCCGTTAGTAAAGCTGTAAATTTTCCTGTTTTCGGAGTACTAATCAATGAAGGAATGGACTCCTGTGTTACTATTTTTCTGTGCTGTAGCTTTCATTCGTCTAGTCCCACTTTGTTGACTAAACCCGCTTGCCATAAGATTAAGCATCTAATCCCGGATGGATTTCCCGGGTCCTTTGTCCAGCGAAAAGAAGAAATACACACGGTCGACGTCGCTCGAACTAGACTGATCTCGGCTTCACGAGCGACATTTTCGTCCCAAACAAGTGGGCCCCGTTAATTATCTGTCAGGACTAATATTGGAGTTTGATGGCCAAAATTCCCGATTCCGGAAATTTCGACGAAGCTGCGCATCCGTGTATCGTCCTTAAACCACCGACGGAGGCGAAACTGAGGCGGGGCTTTTCGGGGGGGGCGCGGCGAAATATGACTCCATTGTCGGGTCAAAATCGAGAGAACACGAGGAATTGTTTGCTTCGATTGGGCGGCAAAATCGGGTCTCGGAGCATTTATTGGGAGCACCGAACCCGAGGAGGAGGGTGGGGGGGTTTGGTTTGGTTTGGTTTGGGGTCACGAGGGCGACGGGTCAATGGGGTGGAGATCTCGAGCCGTGCGATCGCGAGGGGGGCGAGAATATCGCCGCCCCCGCTCGAAATCTCGCGGGAGCATCCGCGAGTTGTCGAAATCTCGTGCAAGTGGGGCCCGCTACCCCCCCCATGTGCTCCGCCGCGCATCGTGCTCCCGTGCTCCCTCCCTCTCTCTGTTTTTTGCTTCGTTTTTTTTCTTTTTCTCTCCCGCTTTTGAATTTTGAATTTTCTTTTCACACGACTTTTGGCTTTTGACCTACGTCTTGTCTCCGGTGCTTATTTACCGTAAGTTTGTGCTCTCATTTGGTTGTTTGTTTTTTTTTTTTTAAAGTGTTGAATTTTAAAGGGAAAAATGCCCAGAGGAAATAAAAAAAATATATATACGCACGCCTTGATTTTGGCTCTAAACACTGTGACGCGCCGCATTATCTTTTTTTATTTTTTTTCATTGGTTACTAAAAAGGGGTATCAACGAAACTACTGCTGATCGCCTGAGGAAAGAACTTTTAGTGTAAGCCACAAGTTTTGCTCGAGGTGATTGCTAGTGGGAACTTCGGGGCTGGCGGGTACACTTGAACTCAAGCTACTTCCTTTGCGAACCAACAAAGGTTTCCTAAGAGTAAGATAGACTGGAGGATTGCACCTGTAGAGCTACGTTGTAAATCACTCGTGCTAGATCAACCATCCCGATGGTTGTACTGGACATTGATTACCAACTTGCCATCAGGGTTTTATTTAAAATTATCATTTTCTTTTTAAGGATGCCCCCCCCTCCCCATTAAATTCTAAGTCCCCACCACCCACACAAAACTCCTAAAACCCTAATTCAACCACCACACTTGTTGCCTGCCTACCATGGTGATGATCTTCACGCCACTTGACCGTCTTACTCTTTGGTTCCCAACTCTTGGTGCCGGCTTTTGTGCGTGTGTGTGTGTATGCATGCGTCTATGGCAACCTCAGGCGATGTTGTGCCACAGCACTCTTTGACCTCTATTCGAGGTCATAGGTTGGTCCGGCCATTGACGAGCTCCGATCAAGGTTGCCCGTAGCAGTCTCGTGTCCTTGGATTGAGGTCACGCGAACCTCTTCATCGAGGTTATTCATGGCAGCTGGTGACCTCAACTTGACGTCGTCCATGGAGGGAGAGTGCAGATGAGGTCGTGTGATAAGGCCACTCATCCAGGTGCTTCGTAGCACTCTTCTCAAGTTGGTGTTAGCTGGGTTCACTCCCATGTGGAGGAAGCCCATTGAATTGCAAGCTCAAGACTTGAGCCCATATGTTTATTCATATGGAGAAATAGGATTTCTCATTATTATTATGTCGTGGCCACAAAAAGAACGTTTTTTAGAGATACGGTAACAAAAAAGAAAGAGAGAGCAGAAAATCTTGATTTGAGGATATATCTGATATTGATGTCGGAAGTCGATTCGTGGTCCGATTGAGCTGAAATTTTGTGAACGTGTTCGTGCCGCATTCTTCTCGAATCTGATCGGTTTGATTTTCAGTTGAAGCTCTCTACATCAAGTTTTCGTGGGTTGCACCAAAAGTGCGTTTTTTGTGAGATTTATCCTTTTATCTCTTGTGATTTTCATGTCTATTGCCAAGAATGATGTTTTTGATGTCTTTACTGCTATAGACCTCTAGGATTCACAAGAAAAGAACTTTGTTCACCCAATTTTGCTGATAGTGAAGATTTTTGGGTGGACTACGGTCCCGTGATTTTCGATCTCCTCACACCGAGGAGATTTTCCACGTAAAAAAATCATCTTGTATTTGCGTGCTTAGTATTTACATTCCTTGATTCAGTCGTTTCCTATTAGGTTTGCACAGGAGGGGAGATTATTTTTATTTCGCTGCGCCAATTCGATATTGTTCTCTAAATAGTTGATGGGGTTAACATGGTATATACAAACTCAAGATTTACCTACTTAAGGTTAGCTTATTGTTTTTAAGGAAAGTTCTCACTTTGACTGTATCCTCATTTCTTTCCATCACGAAAAGCTAAGATAAAACAAGATCTGCATCATCAATCTCAATGAATTCTCAATAAGTTTTGACCATAACTCATTTATTTCACACGAGTAATTAAAGCATGTGACGGTCGCGGAACAAGTATGGACCGAAAGTCCTCCCAAATTCAGCGTAACGTCATTTGATCATACCATACATCAATGTACTATGAATCTATCTTGAACTTGATTTTTTTTTCAAACATTTGTACCCCAATCACGGGTCCATTAGAAACGATAAACTCTTAAATCAAGGATATGCCCCACGTATCTAAACCGGCAGATTATCATTGATTGCGAAACACATATAAAAGCTTATTCTTTCTTTTTGGTCCTTTCGTACGGGTCCAATGTCACCGGCCCCGAAATCAATCTCACGGCCATTTAAATGCAAATGGATATATCCAATTGGCCCTCGGGTCTTGGGTCAAGCATTCTCGTGGATCCGAATAGTTGCTACGTGAAGGCCCAAAATCCTTTCCGAAACGCACGATGGGTACAAGCTTTCTCGTGGGTTGGGCCTAAAGGAAGGAAACTGATCATTCTCGTGGGCCGATCCCAATTGGCCCATCTAACGTCGGATCGAGGCTCGGAGCCCCACGTCACGGGGCCACATCATCGCATGCATTGGTCGACCCGACCCGGACAAAACAAGCAGGAAAAACCTCGAACAGGTCATCTTCATCATCATCTTCGTCCTCCTCGTCCTCCCTCCATCATCGCCACCACAGCGACCGCGGGGCGAACAGAGATGATAATCCAGCTCCAGCACCACCCCTGTTCCCTGCAGCCGACGCTCCACCTCCCCAAACCCCTCAGTACCCACCACCTCCACTTCCCACCACCCTCCGCCGCCGCCGCCGCCGCCGCCGCCGCTTCCACTTCCACTTCCACCTCGGACTCCGGCCTCCTCTTCCGGGAGAAGCTCCTCTACCTGCAGAGCCTCAACGTCGACCCCCGGAAGGCCCTCCGCCACAACCCGGACTTCCGCTCCTCCCCTCTCTCCGCCCTCCGCTCCGTCGAGTCCTGCCTCGCCTCCTTCGGCATCCCCCGCCCCGCCCTCGGCCGCGTCCTCGACATGTTCCCCCAGCTCCTCACCTCCGACCCGGACTCCGACCTCTACCCCGTCTTCGAATTCCTCCTCCACGAGGCCCTCATCCCCTTCCCCGACCTCCAGAAGTCCGTCCTCCGCTGCCCCCGCATCTTGGTCTGCAGCGTCGACGCCCAGCTCCGCCCCACCCTCTCCTTCCTCCGGAGCTTCGGCTTCGTGGGCCGCCGCGCCATCACCTGCCAGACCACCCTCCTGCTCGTCTCCAGCGTCGAGCGCACCCTCTTGCCCAAGATCGAGTTCTTGCGGAGCCTCGGGTTCGGGTACGGGGAGGTCTCGAGGATGGCGATCAGGTCGCCGGGGCTGCTCACCATGAGCGTCCAGAACAACATGAGGCCCAAGGCCGAGTATTTCTTGCGGGACATGCGGGGGAACTTGACCGAGCTGAAGCGCTTCCCGCAGTACTTTTCCTTCAGTCTGGAGCGGAAGATCCGGCCGCGGCATCAGATGCTGGAGGAGCACGGGCTTGAGTTGCCCTTGGCCGAGATGCTCAAGGTCAGCGACGGCGAATTCGCCGCGAGTCTGATCGAGATGCGGTTGCGGAGAGTCGATGCCCGGGGTGAGTCGGCTCCCCTCCCCTCCCTGTAGATGTGTCCACGGTATGATGAGAATTTGTCACTGGCAATAGATAGCCCAGTTCTGCAATGTTGCAGATTTTTTTTTTGCTCATATGGGAATTGTACAGCTGATACATAGATGATGAGTTCTATTCCGCGATTTCTGAAGCTTTCTGTGGCATTCTACAGAGTACAGAGCGTGAGAAAGCGTCGTTCTTAATTGATTGTTTAGAGCTAATTTACTCTTGCGAATAGCTGATGGTTCAATTTTACACATGAAATCGAGGTCAGCTGCTGTATAGATCCTCTATTGAGCAGAACGTTTTGATTTCTGTAACCTCGCTTGCGATCTTAGGCCTTCTCAAGGATCTTGGATGATTATGCATGTGATTGCTCGTGCAAATAGCTGCAACTACATTTGTAGTGTCGGATTGGAGTTGGTTGCGTATAGATCATTGGTCGAGATTAAAGTCAGTTGCACATGGATCATCAACTGTGCACATGAAGTTATTTGTTAGCAGCATATCCGATAGTGATAGCCAGTCTGCCAGTTCTACAACTATATAGCTTTTGCATTGTTCGCTTATACTGGAATTGCACGGTTGATATAGATGAAGCTCGATTCGATGTTTTCTGAAGTTTCTCGTGGCATACTACAGAGCGTGAACCACAGAGTTGAACAGGTGTCTTGCTTAATCAATCGTTTAGGAGCTAATTCACTCGTGCCGTGAAATTGAAATCGGCCACTTGTATAGATCCTTCTGGGGAGTAGTGTTGGAATTCATTCAAAATCACTCACTTCATTTGGCCTTCTTAAAGATCTCGGTCGATTACGCATGCGATCACTTGCACATATAGCTGCTAAGAACAATTTTAAGCGTGGCATTGAAGCTGGCTGTGGGCGAGTCATTTGTCGTGAGCAGTGCTGGACTTGGAAGTACATCAAACTCACTGATTAGTCCCCTTGGCCTTCTTAAGGATCTGGGTTGATTCTGCGCATGAAGTTGTTCGTCAGCAGTGTCATCTATGAAGTGACATTAATCCCGCTCGTGTGCTTGTCAGCATAAGATGTTTACTTTTCCGCCAAAACACTGATAACGTTAGATGTTGCCCTGGTATCACCATCTCTCATTTATGTAATGTTAAATTGCTAGTTATTCGTTAGCAAGTATCATCTATTTCTGATGGATATAATCAATTTGTGGGTTCTTCATCTGCAAAGACAACCGTGGCCAAACTATTTATCTAAAGATGTCGAGAGTTTTTCATCTTTACTCACATTGCGACTTCTTGTACTGTCAATTTAGTTACTGAGCAGTGATCCCGCGTCTTTGATGCACGGGCACATCCTATTTGTTGCATACTTAGCTAAGTGTCGTTGCACTAATCTTTTCATTTGTGTGTACTGAATATGGTTGAACTGAAGGTCTAGCTATAAACAATACACGTATGGCTTGCATAAGACTCTCTCTATCGTTGTTGGTGAAGGATGTCGTTATTTCTTCTTGCGAAGTGGGGTTTATAGCATAACATCAAAAGACTGCTCACATTATCTGCTAAGTTTATGTACCCTCGGACAACCTAAAATCCACTTGCACCATACATCTCCTGCCAGGGGTTGCGCCTTGACACGATCGATTGAACTGCTCGTGCAGAGATTTGCTCGCGCTCTTCGTTTTTTCCGCATATATCTGTCATTTTTACTAACTTAAATCCTCTAATGTTCTGCTGGCAATTAAAGCTCTCAAACTCTCATTCCAACTTATTTAGTCTCGTGGAAGCCCCATCGCTGCAACTCAAGTACTCTGCTAAAACCGTGGAAGTCGCCATTTTAGATCATCTGTACATGAGACCATTTATATTTTCTTCTTTGGCCTGCTCTCTCTGAGTCAGCTATGAACTGCTATGATACAAATTCAGAATCGTTTTACTGCCGCTTCACACGCATTGCAAAAACCAACCGTGGCCGTATGAACTGTATAGCATGATTGAATTGGATAATGGCCTTGGATCCCAAAGGTCGAAATGCCAATGCAATCCTAAAAAAGGAAGACAAAAAAAACAAGGGTTTAGGGCGAACTTTTTGCTAGAGGCAGGATTTCCACAATATCAACGGAGTCGATTCTTAATTTCCCTCGGGGAATTGCAGTAAGGCCTCGGGAGCGAAAACTTAGATGTCGTCAATTTCACATTGACCGATCGGCTTTCTTACGGACCGTTAAACACACTGAAAAAAAAATGAAAAGAGAGAATGTTTTTTCAACGTCATTTTAGGAATTGTTGCCCTAAACAGGAAGGGGCGTGTGTGATCCACTGCGTCTAGGATGCGATCCATGTGAATTCCCAACCAATGCAAAATGAAGGTACAATTTAAGAGGGTCGTATTACCTATAGTCTACTTCGTACTTGGAGCTTCGGAGCTCGAGATGACATTGCATTGAAAATACGAGTCTGTAAGCTTCTTTGATGTTATATATATATATATATATATATATATATATATATATATATATATTACTTTCTCATTACTGATCGGAGAGAAAAGAGAAGTGAAAACAGGGGATGAGCTACGTTGCTCGGCGAGCCCATGTCCCAACAACGCTGCACGGCAGTGCCATTTCGTGATAACGCCAAAGCACGTCGCATCAAAGCTCGTACGAATCCCTCTCTGACAAGACGTTGGTGGACAAAGTGTATCAATACATATTTGCGAAATCGCTTCGTTAATCCTACTCAGTGGGACAGTAGAGAGAGAGAGAGAGAGAGAGAGAGAGAGAGAAAGGAGGGAGAGAGGCCTGCGCTGCATAGCTTTGAAAGCCCACATCAGGGTCTACGCACGTGGACACACTCAGGCACATCTCCCCTCTCTCTCTCTCTCTCTCTCTCCAGTGCCTCCATCTTCATCCGTCCTAACCCTGTTCTCTGCATCGACTGGTTAACATCGTGCAAATCCCGGGGAAGAGTGGAATGCTTAGCCTTCATCTCGACCCATTTAGCAGCGCGCTTTGTTGTGTCTAGTCCGCGATGTTGTATCAGTGAGCTGTTGCGGATGCAGAGTTGGCTTCTGATGATGATGATCAGATTTTAACTTTCCCCCAAACCCCAAACACGAGCCCCCTGTTTTTTCATTCTGATTATCTCCCAGATCTGTTGTATCCATAAATGGTATCGTGACCCTTTCCTATTCCCTTGCCCACTGTTGCCCAAATGTCAGTGGCACCACCCACTTTGTGTGCATATTTTGTTTCACTGCTGTACGATCTCTCTGCTCCTGCGAGCTGGCTGTGTAGAGCCTATCTAAGATTGCTGACTTCAGACGGTGTTATACAGGTTGTAGGCTCTTGCAGTCTGCCCAAGCTTTTACTTCATACTTCAAAGTTCAGAACCACCACCCCTTTCCTTTGGCTAACAAGAAAATAGAAAAGAACACATTTATACCCCACAAAAAAACATCAACCATAAATTGACTAAATTACCTTAAACAACGGTAGACCCCACCCTCGACTCTCTCTTGCTCCCTCTTTAGGTGAAAACTTTCAAATTTTATGTGTGAGTTGCGTTACAAAAAATTCTCGAATTAAAGTGAGATCAATTGAATATATTGACGGATTTGGATTTGGCGATGTTCCCAATTGCCGTGCTGCCCAGCAAAGACTTACGCCCACCTTGTTAGCAAAAAGAATCTTGTTGTGCAAGTTTTCAGAGTCGTTTGGATGGGGGACCACGAACTCAAAGAATAGGGAGCGAGACTGTAAAGTTTATCCATCCGTCGGTGAATTGCTTGTTGAGTGTCGTTTCGCAAGTTCATTTCATTTTCAATAACCCGCTCTTCTCGTCTCGTTTTAATCAATCCTCCTTTTTCTTTTATTTCAAATACAGATGCAGAATTTTCAAGCTGCAAGATTTCGAAGGAAATAAAGCCAACCAACAGGTCGATGCTTCATTGATTACTACAGGAGTTCATGAACAAGGCGGTCAGCAATATTTTTCACGAATTTACTTGGCCAAGGACACACAGTGACCACCCTGACTTGAGTTGAGGAACGTACAGAGTGTTCAATAGCGCATTTATGCTTTTTCGAGAGAATAGTCGTTCTGTCTTTCAACGAGTTCAAAGAGCTTGTGGGTCTCCGAATGAGTGTTTTCCTTTTACTTGCATCCATAAAAGAACAGTGAACTATCTTAACGATGAATGGATGGTTCGTACTCGCACAAACGCACTTCACAAAGTTAGAAGCAGAGAATACTCGACTGTTTACAGCATGTGTGTTTGCGTGTGTCCCATCAAGGTTTAAATGCTTGTTCAACTACCAAAGTGAGAACAAGTACTCTCTCGCTCTCACCCCCTCTTCCCTCTCCCTCTCTCTCTCTCTCTGTTCTACTCTATACATGCATGCAAGAGGCTCAGTGACTGTGACTCTGCGTGTGCAATATCGCAGTTTTTGAGCTTTGTACAGGTATAGCTTTGAAGTTCCAGAAATGGAGGGGCTGACTTAACGATCAGAACAGTATTGAAAACGAGATTCAAAACCACATAAGTGTAAGATGATGCCTGGAAGGCCCACGTTTTTTTAGATTAATCCACTTAGTGAGGAGAGACAAGGACAGTCATCATTTCATGCTGGGTTTATATCCCCCGCTTAGACTCAAATGAATGGCCCTGGCCTAGCTTTTTCAATCACGCTCATGTTATTACTAGTTGTTGTCCTGTGTTTGTCGAAGGCTACAGAGGTTTGTTGCCCTACAACTACTAAGGGTATGCAGTAAATTAACTAACGTACAAACTATGTTTCCTGTTGCTTCTATATTCCAAGGGGACAACCCCCAACAGAATCTTATATAGGATAACCCAGCATTTTATTTCGAGGGTCCATCTCTCTTCCCCTACCCTGTGAATGCGATTCTTTTCTTCCTTTCATCTAATCCAATTTACCTTCGTTGGTGTTTTGCCCCGTCGTTCCTCTTCTTGGAGGGCTTGATCAATTTGTGTGTCTTAGTTTCTTAGAGTAATGCTGAACTTTCTTGCTCTGTGAAGTGGTCCTAGGGATGACCACATTCACCATTCTGTACAACGCAAAAATGATTTCATCTGATTCATCTTCGACAAACCACAATTATACGTTTATTATGTATCAAATATCTGATAGTCCAGGTGCGGCCTCACCAACCTATTCCTATGCTCACATCGAGGGTAATGTTGCTGAGCCAGAAAGGTTTCAACATTCGGCCTGCATTTGATCCTTAATTGATCTAAGAGTTGTTCCCGAGCATCCTCAAAAAAAGGCATGACTGAATCGAAATCAACCCTTCCTCATATAAAACATCTTGAACCATTGCAAACTGGCAAGCAATTTATCAAATATAACAAAATTTAAGGTACTAATAACAATACAAAATGGCTCAAACGAACAGTACTCGTAATGCAACAACGTGATACAGCTCGCCGGTGCAAGAAGATGGTTTTGTCGAAACACGAATTGGTTGATCCGAACACTTCAAGTGAGCATGTTGGGGGTGGGCATGCAAGATCACGAAAAAGCACGAACTCCATCACCCCCATGGGACACCAAAGGAGGGTCATTGATTCTAATACGAGAATAGTCCTGTCGGCCTCTTGGTTTGGAGAATCAACAACATTTCCAGCTCAAGTTTCACATCATGTGACAATGCATGTATGCCTCTAACTAACTAAATGTCCGTACGTGGTCCTTCTCGAGCCCCAGCCCCACTTGGCTTGTAATGCGGAAATGGCTACGACCATCTGTCTTCATTTACGAACAGTTTTTGAGCGTGACAGCATCTCATCTCTAGAGCGCTACAGCTCTATAAGTCTCTACAGGAGATGAGCTACATTTGTTCCTTTGTGTAGGAAGAGGAAAAGAAAAAGAGAGGGTCCAGAGGATGGGTATGGATGGTAATCCGTAATTTGTGAAGATGAAAAAATTTCTCTTTGCTCAACTGGTATGGAAGAGAAGCAACTGAAGGTGATTCAAAGCGACATCGATATTAGGTTATTATAAGTGATGCATGGTTGGTTTTGTGATCTCACTATCGTATGATCCGTCATCTGCACAGCTTTTCCCCATTCTCTCTCTTTCTCTCTCACGCGAAGCATTTAAGCATAGAAAATGAAGAGGTCATTGTCACTTTGGTGGGGTTTTCTTCTGAATGGCTGGGGCTTTCCTTGAGATAGAACTCACAATAACATGAACATAAGTTTCAGGAAAATTTGAAAAGAGGGAGAGTGAAATGCCCTTACATAATGTTACACCGGAGAGTAACAAAAGTACAAACCTGCAAGTAGGGTTTGGGGATTCATTGATGTGTTACTCAAACTTACGATATATCTAAGTTTTATCAAGTATACGTAAAACACTTTAAAGAGATATAAGTTAATTATGGTTGGGGGCCTAGCTAACCAGTTAGATAACGTGTGTATAACCCATTTCTTTTCATGTCAACACGCGATTGATGTCTTTGTGAGTTAATCATTTCTAAGAAAATCACCTTCGTTTTCATGAGTTCCAAAGCATCGGAACTATAACGTACCGTAAACCATAGAAACCTACCCACATGTCGTTTTCCCTATGGTCCACGAAAATTTTTCAGATTTGTCATTCTTAATGAGACCTAGTTCTGCATGAGAATGCCCTAGTCCTAGCCTCCCAATGCAGAAGCCATAGTCCCTGTTGCCTAGATGGAGCTATCCATCCCATCACAGGTACGAAAATAGCAAAGGTTTCTTTACGAACCGAAAATTTTCTTTTAGCTCAAAGTTTCGAACATGTGAAAATCGCAGTAACTTCTGTCCAAAAACTAGGGGCTGTACGAAGAAAAAGAAATGAATAGCAACCGCATTTCACCCCCCACCACTTTAATAAAAGTCCTCAAACATTCAATTTTTAACCTAAGAAAGGTGGAGTGTCCCCCCACTGTATGAGTCTAACAAACCCTCTGTCCTTTTCTCTGGGCGTTGAGGATGACCAGAGGCCTCTTCTTCATTATTGTACTGGCCCTCCAAGTTTCAGTGCTTGGAAGAGAGCGCTCCCCCATTGATTGCTAACCAAAGCCCCATCAGGGTTTTGATCTTTTGGCACTTCCGCAATTGAAGAAGTCACTTTCTGTAGTTTTCTCAGTTTACTATACCACCGGGAAAGTGTGGGGTGGCAAGAACAAGAAGGTGACCCATTTTCTCCTGCGCTAGAGTTCGAGGAAATACTATGCAGACTCGTGACATACATCATGTCACAGATAGAGTCCCACTATGGGCTTATTTGGCAACTTGCTAAATAGTGATTGATTCTATTCTTTTGTTTCCATAATCAGTTTGGAAACAGAAATCCGTTTGTTAAATTTTTTGTGCCCGAACACAATTTTGCAAAAAATTATGTCCAGAATCAGTTTTGGAATAGAATCAAGAATAAAAAAAAAGAAACTTCTTAATTTTGGAACAATTTTTTCAGAACTGATTCTTCTTGATTTTTTTCTTCTTTTTTTTTTGTTGTTGTTGTTCTTCGGCCCTGTCACCCGCCGGCGAGGGTTCCCCTCGCCGCCTGGGGGAGGGCGGCTTGCGGCCTTGCCCAGCCAAGGCGAGACCGACCTTGCTGTCGCCAACCAGGTCCATCGCCTAGGTGGCGACGGCGAGGCCAGCCTCGCCTTGGCTGGGTGAGGCTCGACCTCGCCGTCGCTAGGGTTGGCGACGGCGAGGTCGGCCTCTCCAGATCTGGGCGAGGTTGAGCCTCGCTCAGCCAAGGCGAGGGCGGCGGTGAGGGCCACGACGCCCTCGCCGGCCCTGACCTGTGGCCGATCTCCGGTGCCGGCGGCCGGCCATGGCCAAGAAAGGAAGGGGAAAGAAAGAAAAAAAAAAGAAAAAAAAGAGAAAAAAAGAAATAAATATTAAAAAATTCAAAATATTATTAATAAAAAGAAATTTTGTGTAGTTACCAAACGCATTTCTATTCTGAGAACAAAAATTTTTGGCAATTACCAAACGCCTTCAAATGCTTAAAAATTGTTTCCGGACACAGAATCAAAAAGAATCATTTCTGCCTAGAATCAGATTCTGGGCACAAAATGGTTGCCATGCGCAGCCTATATTTGCTAAGAAATCCAAGTCGAAAATTGAAATCATGACATTTACATGTAGTCCATATGAGATACTTTAATAATCTCTCTCATACGTGGAGAAAGCATGCGTAGAGATAGAATTCGTCAATATCACGTAAAAATTGGTCAAATCCAAAAGCATAAATTATCAGGCGAAGGTCTTCATATGTACGTTAGACGGTCATAAACTTCATATTTAATCAACATTTTTGCTAAGCTGTGGACTATATTTATTGATATAATGGTTGTATGGTTCAGTCACGATATCCCACAGTTAATCACTATTGGATCTTTCATCCAGTCGCATCGCAATAATTATTTTATTGTAATAATAATAATTTGACAGTTAGAATGTAATTTGTTTCATGAGTTCTTTGATAATTGTATTTCTGCACTCTTGCACTTGAATTATAAAGAAATAGCATTTTTATAGCGAGAGAAAAATCTAATACTTATATCAAAACTTGAACCTTTTTGTGGGTTTGACGCGTGTTATTGTTTTTTAAAGTGTAATTAATCAAATTTATTAGAACAAGTATAGTCAACAACTTTGTGAGGACTATATACACATCATGTGGTGGACAAAAGAAGACCTACCCTCAAAGGTCTAAGATAGGGGGTATCCTAAGTTTCTATGAATAGTAGCATCTGCTTTACTTACAAAAGAAATCTGGTTAAAAGTGACCCATGAATGGAGAGAGAGAGAGAGAGAGAGAGAGAGAGAGAGAGAGATGGCTAGGGCTCCACACGTGTGCAGAGGGTTTGCTTGCAGAGCACACGTGGTTGAGGTGGAGGTACATTCCTTCAGAGAATAAAACCAAAGGCAAAATATATGTATCCAGCTTTCTGATTGGGGGGACGTGTGCGTATACTGGTGATGTGGATCGTGCCCGATGATGAGAGCAACTTATCACCGTTTCCCTTTATTTTTTAATGAAGGAGCTGTTGCATTTCCAGCTCGTCTTTTTTCCCTTCCAGTTTGTTGCGTTTGAAACTTCACGGGATTCTGATACGATTCAAGGAGATTAGGTGGTCAGCGAACATGTTTAAGCCCGGACGATGCATGAGATGACGACGTCAAGTGCTGAACATGCAAAGCGAAGATCAGCCCTGTCTTAACTCGAACAGAAAGACAGGAACTCTCGAAACAAATGCAGGTCTGTGAATGAATTGAATGAATCCCTCTAAGCTAAAGATGATCTTCTTGCGCGTTCCCAAGGAGGATATCTTTCTGATAGTCGCTACTGTGACTCCAGGGATCAAAGAAAGCCTCTCGAATTCCATTCCAACAAGCAAAACCATTAAAAATCAGGTACGGAGATAAAGGGAAAAATATCAATTATAAAGAAAGATTTGTGTAGGGTAGGGTTGGGGTTTGGATGGGCAAGCATAGCTAGTTTTTTTTTTTTTTCAAGCATAGCTAGTTGGAAACTCCATGAAGTGGGCAAGTAACAACAAAAATGGAGATAGGCAACATCTTGCAAGCTTTTACCTTTTCATGGCCTTTCTCTTTTCTTGCTTTTGTCATGGTGGGTCATTCAGTTTGGCTTTGTTTCCCATTTATAGTTCCTCTCTGGGCCTCTCCAATGGTCGGTCACTCATTGACCCTAGTTCCATTTTGAAGACGTGTATGGTTGGTTTAGAAGAAAACATAAAAGTACCATTTGGATCTTAAAAGAAACAATAGAAAAGTTTCACTAGAGTTTTAATGGATTTGCTCACGTTTTCTTTTTTGAAGAATAATAAGAAGTTTTACAGGAGTTTGGATGAAGTTGCTTACATTTTAAATGAAAACATGACTTAAAGAATGAATTTTTAAGATATTACAACAGATATTGGTTGGTGCGTTTTAGCTAAACCTAAAGAATTGCATCTAGCGTTTGAAGCGAAATTGTGGGGCACTTGGGATGACATGAAGCTGGGCTAAGATAAGGAAAATCGAGATAGAAATAGATACCGCACAGATACCACACGTTATTACTTTAATCGAACGCTCTCCTCTGGACACACTCATCTGCCTGCATGCAGTGCTTATTGACGATTGCATGCCGCTAACAAAAACTTCAGGGGAGAAGTTACTTATGCACTCCTTCCATAAGGAGAACCGGTGGGTTGATGCCTTGACAAATCATGCCTCGTCTCGTACGGATAACTTCCACTCATTGGAAAATTTTCCCGGTTCATTGTTATTTTTATTTTTTTTTCCGTATTTTCCCCCTTATGTTGTTGGTGCATGAACTTTTAAGCTTCAAATAGTGCATTTCCCTTTGATGGGATATAGTGAGGGCTTTGACTACGAGGAGGAGATCCATAAATAATACAATAATTCAAAGAGGGACGAGATTAATCTCAGTTCCATTAATAATAAGAAACAAGAAATAGATTAATGGTTGGTTTATGAAAAATTACAATTAAATCAACTGTAAATGAGGTCGTATGCAAAAGCACACGTAGGATAAATCCATTTCTTAATAGGCCTTGAGCATCATCATTCAAGACATAAACGCGAGTCAAGGGAAGTCAAAGCTTCAAAGCTTCGTCAAAGCGATGCTTCCAAAAACCCTACAGAAACGCCACATATCGTGGGAATTGACCAAAGGGGCTGAAACGATTCTGGACACTGAGAAATATGCTAAAAATTCGTCCTTTAACTGTTTGGTGTAACACTGGGGAGGGTGCAAAATACGAAGCCACCTTTCCGCGCAGTGCTTTTACTCGGATTGGTCGCGGCACAGTGTGAGTTTGCTCACTGCTCACGAGCCATTTTCACCATTTACTGCGGGGTTTCATCGAGCTCTTTTGAGTGGACAACCGCATCCATTGGTGCGTGTTTTGGTTCTAGAAAATCAAATCTCACTGTTGATTCATCCAAACTTCAGAACGAGAGCTTGCGCGTGCGTACTAATTTTGATAGACGACCGATTTTTGTTCATTCATGGATGCCAATGACCGTATTCATGTAATTCGTGCTGCTATTAATGTAGGTCGTAAGGCTAATGAAGCGAAGGGGGATGTCCATGATATGAACAGAAAGATCTGTCTTCCATGGATGGACTTTGCTTCGGTCATGCATCATCACCCACCAAAAAACCCGAAAAAAGAATTTAGGATCAAGCACAGCTCACAAGGACCAAATCTTGTAGAATCGAGAACAATTAAAACAGAAGTACGAAAATATCTACAGGAAAGGAGAGATGAGACTGAATTTTATATCTTATTCAGAACCTTGAAATCTTTAAATAGGCAAATACATAACAGAAACACCATAAAAATAGGACTCATGATAATCCATAATCGGCATAAATCAATTATTCCACTAACTTCTAAAGAGTAGGACAACTGAGAAACAAATAAGCTAAACGTCGAGAAAAAGAAAAAATTATTATTTTGACAAATCTCACATATGGCACGAGACAGAGGAAGCAGGTGGGGATCGAGTGGGGACTTCGCTTCACTCCCGTGACTTGAAGTTCATATGTAAGGGCATCATTTTTGGAATGTCGTTCATCGGTTTAGGAAACGAGGAACATGCAATGCAGATCGAAAGGACAAGTTCCATTTGGTTGTTGGGTCAACTTCAGGTGGTTAACCCTGATATGCTCAGGTTAAATTGAATCCGTGACAGCCCCAGCCCTAAAGCCCTAGCCCTAGCCCTAGCCCTTATAGTTAAGCTAACCTGCAGGATATTGAGAACGACCCAAAACGTTAAAAAAGATGAATTGAGGAGCTGCGATGATGGTGGAGTCCGAGAGGGTCTAGTGAAATTAGGCCTGGCTACGGGGGTTATTATTAACGTGTCAATTGTCAGTGCTTGATAAGGGTTAGTTCAAGTGGAGTGTGTCTTTCATAAGCTCTCATTTTCAGGAAGTTTTTCCACTGGCCTGTAATGAAAACAAAGGCTTTGGTCTCGGACCTGCACAAGCGCAACCCAGCATGTCACATTGGCGAGCCTTTCTTGTCATTGCAGGGTGAGACAGCCAAGAACCACATCGACCCCATCCTTGGTTTAGAGAGAGAGAGTACTGCAGTCACTTTCAAACGTGCAAGTGAGCAAATTGACCCCAGCATTGAAGCACTCTGAATACCGTTGGATCGAACATATTAAGCGAATGGGGATGTGTGGTAGTCAGAGATGGCCGTAAATGCGAAAGGCAGCGTGAAAATTTGGTGTCTTTTGGCGAGACACCCCTTTTGTGCCTCCATGTGCTTCGATGAATGCTCCACTTTGATCTGATTAAGTTAGTCTAAAAAAAGTATATTCGCACTGGAGACGAATCTCACCAGTTTGATTTACACTACAACCGCACTTACCAATGCTGAGAAGGGTTTGTTCTTGATCGGCTGGAGGGGCGTTCGATGGTTATAGAAACTATGACAGCACATTGAACAACCTTTCCACGCGTATGAGAATGTTCCATGCGGTCGATATATTAAATTATTTGATTTGACCGTTTGAAAGGATTTTCTCACGAGCCGATCGTCTTGATTTCTCTCTCTTTGCGATAGTTCATCTTTTCACTCGCCCGCGTAGGCTTTGTGAATGTAACATACGAGAGAAACTAAATCCTTTCGATCATAAGTTCTGTTCGTGCTCCCGTATGTATAATATTCTACTTTAAATTCGACAGTATTTGCCAGTTTCGTAACATTCCCCTCGCAAATTTTTATCGCAATAGCTCCGGCCCCAAAATGTGCATCAAGTTTCGTCCCAAGCAACCTATATGATCGCATTCTAGAGCGACGGAAATCAATTTTTTTTTGTGACAACGTGAAAGTACTCATCTAAACCAAATCACATGGCGATAAAATGATGTGATTGTATTGTCGAAAATCCCGTTTGATATCGATCAAATGCGAGAACGTAGCGAGAAAGTTATGTAAATACTATATCATGATTGAAATTTGTAGGTCTAGTCACGGAGAAAATGGCTCTCCCAGTATATTTTGAGGGACATATAGCGAGAAGCTAGCTTTGTTAACTTGAGGCGAGGTGGAGTTATAGTCAAACATGCCTTTAGTTTCGACGACTTTTTCGTTTCGTTTCCTCAGAGTCAAATTCACCGTTCTGTTCATCATTGAAAAACGGGTTCTTGAATTTCATGGAGGTCATTAGGACAAGAATACAAAAACCAAAACAGTAGAGTAGCAGGTCTCTCTGTCTCTCTCTCTCTAGGTTTCCGTCAAAGGCAAAATTTTATTTTTGGTCGGATCAAAGGCAAAATCGAACACTTGCAGTTTTTGCCGTTTCGAGTCTCTCTCTCTCTCTCTCTCTCCCCTCAGCCTGCGAAACAAAACTCTCTCTCTCTCTCTCTCTCTGCTTCTCTTCTTAATATTTACTGCGATGATGACTGGGTAACAGTCCCGTATCCGAGTCTCTCTGTCAGCAGAGCGAGAGCGAGAGAGAGAGAGAGAGAGCTGAAATGGCGAACAAGTGCGTCGATTTATCGGGAGCAAACGGACGCAGTATCATCACGAGCTGCCGTTCTTCCTCGTCCTCGACCGGCATTGTGAACGCGGACATGGGCTCTCTCTCTCTCGCCGCTGCCGCCGCCCACCACGGCCTCGCCGATCTCCTGGGGACGACGACGACGACGAGCAGCGAACCCATTGATCACCGGAGCAGGAAGGTCCACAGCAGCAACAGTGTCAGAGAGAGCAACAGCACGAGCGACGAGCACGACGGCGGGAAGGTCGACGGAGAAGCCGGCGGCCAGTCGAAGCTCTGCGCCAGGGGCCACTGGAGGCCCGCCGAGGACACCAAGCTCAAGGAGCTCGTCGCCCTCTACGGCCCCCAGAACTGGAACCTTATTGCAGAGAAGCTCGAGGGCAGATCAGGTGAACACCGAGAAAAACATAAAGTTGCCCTTTTTTTTCGTGTATTAAATAGCGAAAAGATTGGATTTTCTGGGTGACGATGACGAAAAGACGTGTCTTTTGCTTTTGGATCGTCGTCTTCGTCGTCGATGGTGGTATAGGGAAGAGCTGTAGGCTGAGGTGGTTCAACCAGTTGGACCCGAGGATCAACCGGAGGGCGTTCACGGACGAAGAGGAGGAGAGGCTGATGCAGGCGCACCGGGTGTACGGAAACAAGTGGGCGATGATCGCCCGGCTCTTCCCCGGACGGACCGACAACGCCGTGAAGAACCACTGGCACGTCATTATGGCCCGCAAGTACCGGGAGCAGTCCACCGCATACCGGCGGAGGAAGCTCAGCTTGTCCCAGTCGCCGTCGTCCGGTTTCGCCAGGCTGGACGAAACCCCCGCCGGCCATCACGATCGGGACGACTATGACGACACACCTGCGAGGACGGATTACGCCGTGTCGTTCGGTAACGTTGGGGTGTCACATTGGGCAATCGGGATGACGGCATTCGATCATCATCAGCATCAGCATCAGCATCATCATATTCTGGGGTTGAATCATGGGTCGAGCCCAACAAGCAATAATGGAGAGGGACTGGCGGTTCAGAATGGATTTGATTTTCTCGCCGGTGGGTCATTTGTGGTGATATTTACAGTTTCGTTTGGCCTCCATATTTGCTGAGCATATCTTGTGTGCATTTCTCTTCCGGTGGGCATGTCTGTCTGTCTGTCCGTCAGTCTGTCTGTCTGATCATCTTCCATGTCTTCTTTTGTGTTAGAATGGAAAACAGGACCGATAAAAATTGTAAGTATACAAGTATGCAGATGGAAGGAAAGGTTTGAGAGAAAGATTTTGTGCCAATCAGTAGTCTTTTAATATAACGTCTGCTTCAAATTCGAAAGGCGGAACAAAAGAATCCGTCACTGATCAAGCTCTCATCTCTTTATGATCACGACTGAAGTAAAAACTGAGCCACTGTTTTATATAGGTCGGGACGGCAACGACGACGATATGACGACAAGCTTGTTCAACCACCAAACAAAACCCTGCGCGAACCCATACGGCGCTTGTCTCCACCCACCCCCGTGGCCGCCGGCGGCCGCGAGCCAGCCGCCGGACGAGGACCGCCACGTGCTCAGGGACCCGTACGCCCAGTGCTGTTGCTCGGGCACGGTCGCGTCCATGATGGCCCATCGAGTTTCGCCGCCACCGCCGCCGGAATCTGAAGCTCCGTTGCCGCCGCCGGCCTCGCCACCATTCATTGATTTCCTCGGGGTCGGAGCCACGTGAGGCTGGAGTTCAGAAAAGAGAAAAGCTTTTCTTCTGAGAATGGCCTGGTGGTTGGGGAATCGTCAGTGAGGACCTCAATGTGGATCTGCTCCTACATAATGGACCTCAATGTGGATCTGCTCCTACATAATGGAGCGAGCCATTAGAGGTAATCTGAAAAGATTGTTTCTTGCTGGACGTGTGTCAGCTACCCAAGAAAAAGCCAAAATGGCACCCCACCCAGCAGAAAATGAGAAGAAGAAAACGATGAAAACCAAAAAGACCTGCCTTTGTGTTTTCTCTGTGATTCGTGTCTCTAATCATTCCAACCTCATCTTTCTCTGTGTTCTCTTTCTCGGACAAAGAGGCCTTAAAACATAATATAACAGCTGATTAACCCGATGGTGTCGAAAAGATTAGGCTCGCGGGCTGCTTTAATCGAGAACAGATCGAGGTCGCTTGAGGGCTTATAAACAAAAATAGATAGATAAAGAGTCATTACTATCCAATCATAGTGTTTTTTCAAAGTTTGATTAGAGCAGTGTGCGCAAGCACCGGAAAGATCTGAGCTTTCTGTTTAAATTTATTGGTGAGTTAAGTTTAGTTGAGGTCGAGTTTGAGCTCAAGTATGAAATTCTGTGCATTCGAGTGAGTCAGAATCGAGTCTTGAGTTAGAGAGTTGAGCTAATGGACTCGACTCAGATTCGGTTATGCCCGTAACTCCAGGAACGGTGATCTTGTCTTTAACAAGATCTTTTAGCGTTATCTACAAACCAGCCCAGCTGAAGCTCTGTCCACGTTGACTCGATATCACATTCAACAACAAAATTTATGCTAAGTACGGCGAGTGAGGTCCGTTTAAAAAGCTCGTCGATACACCGATCAAGTGATCCATCAACTTTATTCATATGACCAATATGTTCTGCTCACCTCAAGTCATAGTTGGAGCGTCCACGAAATACAGGAACGTGTCTCGCCATTACTCTTGGGTTGGGTCCCCTTTTCAAGTCGCGTCACAAAGCTACACATGTAATCCAAGAAAGAGGCTCAGCTAATGTTTCTCGTTTTCGGGAATTTAGATTTCGAGTATCAGCTTTTGCCTTTAGGGCAGCACGATTCCATTTCCTCCGTAGGGAAAAGGCAACTTGAAAGCACTAGTGGTAATAACTCTCCTTCTATTCTTCTTATAATGATGATGATGATGCCATAGCCAGAGCCACACGACTCTACTCAGATTTACTGTTTCATATAAGGACCAGTGCGTCCCAAAGCAGGTCAGTGGGGATGGCTCGAAATTCAACAGGAATAATTTTATGCGGTGTCCAGATGCACACCAAGAGTATTGTGAAAGCTTCGTACACATTCCCTGGTCGCCTTTGCTCCTGAAACCCAACTCTACCCGAATTACCTTTGGCTTACGTGAGCATGAGATCTTTTCAGTTTATTTCACGGTATGGGTCGAACCAAATCGACCCTTAGTTTGTGCTGAAAAGTTTGGCTGTTTAAAGAAATTGAGGGAAGTATGCTTTATAGCTTCGCAAAAGCATCGATATGTTATGAGCAAGCTGCACCATCATGCACCTGGAAGTGGCGCTCGTCCAATGGTCATGTGCGTTCTGTCGACATTCGTAGTTCGTCCGAAAAGAAGAAGAAAAGCAATCGAAAGTGAAGCAATCCCTTTTTGTACAAGAGAAAGGGAAATATTCGTGCATGGCATGTTTACCCTCTAAGGTTCAAATTGAAGTGGACTGGATTGATAAGAGCGCATTGGGTCTAGAATTCCGGCTCAAGCCCGAGAAATGAAGCCCGGAATCAAAGAGAAATGACCAAATTGGCGAATGTCTTCATGCGAAGGAGCAGCAAAAATCTAGGAAACAGTCGTACAAGAGAAGCATAGGCATAGCTCTTGACTTGTTTTATCATACAAATTCGAAGTTTGGTTGGATTTGTCTCTCCCTCTCACGTCCTCTCGTGGAAGTTCATTGACCGGCACAGCGCTGCAGGATTCGCTTGCAGCAATAGAGTCCTTCTGTCATCGAAGCTCTTGCCTCTAACAGTTGATTGAAAAGCCTGGGAGAGAAGACGGTCTGACTCCCCTGAATCAGAAGCTCCATCCGGTGCTTCCCATGCCCCGATGATCAATTTCTTGGTAGTTACTCTGCAATCATCTATTGGGTAAGTCTTAGGAGTCCAAGTGCCATTTCCAGGACTCAAGACATTCCTGTCTCTCGAATGCTTCCCTAGTTTCGTCAAACTTGGAGGACTAGTGCTCGAGTCACCGTGGCCAAATGAGGAGGGCAGTAAGGACGCCTTTGGAGTCGCATTCGAGGAACCTGGCAGTGTGTAAGCCCAATAACATTGTGGCGCTTGGTAAAATGAAACCGGGAAGCCTGAAGTAGGTAGAGCAGGTTTGGAGTTCCAATGACCAGAATCCCATGGAAAGCCTCGATAATTGCGGACTGCCGGTTCTGGTGCGCTACAGACGCTTGCCTTCTCCATTGAATTTGAAACTGTCAAAGAAGATGCACTCGAACGTTCGTCGCTGAAGTTATCTACCCCTCTACCAGAACATGGAATTGCTCGTCCAGGATCAAGATACCCGTTTATAGTACTCGGCACTGGAGCTGCAGATCGACCCCAATTAGGAGAATCCGAACCGAACCTCAGAATGGTGGTTCCAGCGGTTTTCAAATCACCAGCACAATCAGCTCGAAGAGATTCAGGTACTCCCATGTGGTCAAACAGCGCCACCGTGGCTGCGTAAGAGTTCTTGCTCTTACGACGGCCGGCGCCAACGGGGATGTTCCTCATCGTTCCTCCGGCCGTCCAGTACCGTTGGCAGTTTCTGCAGAGGTGCCGGGGCTGATTCAGGTTGTAGTTGTTGTAGTAACAGAACTTGGTATCTGTGCTGTTGCATCGCGGGCATGGTAGTATCTTGTCGGGCTTCTTTGGAGTCGTTTCTTGTGAGAAACTCGTCTCGCTCTCTTCTTTGTTCCGCGCGGTAGGGGGAGAAGTTTCTCTGCCCATTTCATCTTTCTGGTTAATGCTCGTTGAGTCAGTCGAGTCTTTCGGGTTGTCTGTCGCCCGACACGATGTGCCTTCTTCATATTTGTCGTCCATCGGTTCTCTTTCCGATAATGCCTAAAAATTTGAAAAGAGGCATCGGAAATTAGTATGTAGTGGAAAGAGGAAACATCTACTGGGAAAAGATAGATCCTTCTTTGAATAATACGAGACTAACAGACAACATTTGTAGTTGAATCATACGCTTGTAGCTTTTTAAACTGCATTTCCTGATCATTTCACTGTGAGCGAATTCATCTTCAGTGTAAAATCCATGCCCAGTTCAATAAATTCAGCGGGTTCAATAAGAAGCAGAATTAAACAGAGAGCAAAGTAAGACTAAGAACAGCAATCCAAGAGATTGACATTCATTGGCAACCAGCTCAATTACTAGATAGTTGCTTTTGAGATGAGAACGTAGTTTTGGTCGACACATGGATTGCGAAGCCGCAACTTCATGAAGTCAGGGGGATCAGCAAGTACGAAGCAGCCAAGAACGGTGGCGAATGCCCAGATCTCTACAGTGATAGACCGACTAGGATAACAATAATGAAGCTAACCAATAACCAAGAAACAAAACGAGCTAGCACCGCAAGAAAAAGGGTTATTTCCGACCTCTATCCTGACCAATTTTGCTCAAGCACCGGAGCGAACTTATAACCGACCAATGGATCCCGACCAATTTATATGTTGCGATCTTCATGAGATTGGATGCGCTCGACTCCAATCCATAATTTGAATGACAACAAAAGAGAAAAAAATGAATCGGAAACAGAGTTTACCCTCTGACGTTAGGACATATTAAGCTACGAGAAGTTCAAGCATGCACCCTTCCAGAAAGGAAGTATCAGGAAATAGATGGGAAAAGGAAATCCATGAGGATTGGAAAATCAAGACTGACAGGTGCTGAGCTTTGGATACCCTCAGTTTCAATTCTTCCCTCGTTTCAAAAAACCAACCATGAAGGAAAGCTAACTATTTGTCAGTAACCCATACCTTGTCTCCATGAGTCTCCTCTGCTTCTCTTCCATCTCTCTGTTCCTGCGAAGCAGCATCAGCAGAGACAGAGTCGCTGCGATCCCACCATGCGCTTGGACCTCCAGCTCCTGAAACGGAATCTTTTCCAGCTCCCCAAGACGGCTCCTCGAGAACACCTCGCTTCGCTGGGAGATAAATCGTCTTCCCAAACAGCTTTATCGCAAGATCTTTCATCTCCAACATTCTCCTCGTTGTTGCGGCTCTGCTCTGTTCTCGAACAGTTTTCAAAAGTCTCGGTGAGATTAGCTGTCCCGTCTCTGCTTCTCTGTTTTTTTCCAAGAACAGTTCCAGGTCTTCTCCTCTTGTGGAAAAGAGCCCTGCGAGCGCAAGCTCATGTGGGAAGATGCCACATCAGAAATGGGGGGAAATTTCTGAGCCACAAGTTCGTGTGGCCTTTGAGATCTTTCATGCTGTTCGATTCCCCCACATCTTGCAAAAAGATAGTGCTCTTTTGTCCAACTTTTTCCCTTCCATGTCATCTCTCCCCCCACTCTGTTCTCTTTCCCACAGTCGATCCCCACTCGTTCCCTTCTTTTGTCCACTTCCAAAGCTCTCTTGATTTGTTGACTGACTCCATTTACGCACGGGCCCTTCCATTTTGGCTAAGAGCAATGTGTACGATTTCTCCCCTATCTTTTTGCTCTTTGCTTCACTTAGGATGTGGATGTGGTTCTCTGATTACCAGATTGTCTGGAAATGTTGCCTCGAAGTTTGTTGCGAACGAAAGACATGTTTTCGAGAATGACAATGGAAAAAAGAAAAATCACTTTAAATTTCATTACATGAAACATGGAAAAAGCAAGAATTTTTTTGTTCTTCTTCACTTAAAGTTCATGGTTTGTAAGGATAACTATGGTATGTCCGAGAACATATGGATTTATATCTGTGCATTCACCTCTAGAGAATGTTACATCTAGGTAAATTATACTTATGAAATACCATACTAACCTAATAGACTAAATAAAACGCGAGTCTTAATCAGGATGATGGACCAAACATGATTTCGTATGCACCTGACGAAGCATGAGCTCGAACATGCATCGTGTGATAAATCTATACATATATGAGTAAACACCACATAATAATCTCGTCTATTTTTGGACAATATCCACGTCTGTGTTTATAACCTTTGTTCTATCTCCTTTTTTTTTTTTCTCTCAATCTTTATGTCATGCCCATTGTTTAATTAGCACGAGGCATCCCCAGGTTTCAATTGATTTACTTTAGTCCGAAGAAAAAAGTTCTTAGCTTGTTTCGTCTTGAACTGGTCGGTAATTAGAGCTGACATGTCATACTATACTTGCTTTTGGGAGAAATTGTTGTCCACACCTAGCCCAGGCTTACACAAACCATTAAATTATATAAAACCTACACGGCCCCACCTCATTCAATGGAGGGTACAAACCGGGCTCATATGATCCTAGTTCATATATTAACACTTCTAAGTTTGGTCCTTCCTACATGAATTTTCAAGTAACATATATTCGTAGACTCATATTACACGATTATGCCTCTTTTTTTTCTCTTTTTTCTCATTACCCGAAGGATATCCGTATCTTGTTCAGCCTATAAGCCTTATTATAGCATCGACACATAAAGAGAACTCATCCAAATAGGTCGATAAAATCGAACACGAGCATAAAGTCCACACACGATGAGGACCAAAGTTTGGACAAGCATAATTAGCGGCACAATGTTTTATGGGATTGCTTAGGAAGTCAAGGGCAAAGTCCATTTCCAATATAAAGAAACAGTTCTTAGAGGGTGGGGAAAATCGAGCATATGGTAAAGAATGTCGACGAATTTAAATGAAATGTGTGGATAATTTGTCGGAGGGACAGCTAATAGCAAGTTGCCAGGTGGGCTCGGTCGGTGGGACCCTGAGGAAGTGTGGGCCCGCTTTGCTTTGGTGCTTTAGTGCGGATTTGGACATTTCTTCGAGTGACCGACACGTTTCGCCTCCACCTCTCTTCATCTTCCTTTCTTTCTAATCACCACTTCGCTTACCAAAGAGAGAGAGAGAGAGAGAGAGAGAGAGAGGGGTTTGGCCTGTTTTTGTTACGATGATCTTTGAGCACAACCTACCCGTTTAGCCCCCTTCATCCATCGACGTCGGGCGGGCTCCTCCGAATTGCTTGTCGGATTGGTTGGGTCGGGGCTCGGAAAGTTTGAACGGTATGTGAGATTAGTTTGGGCATGCCGTCGTTTTAAAAGGGTTTGGGGTCGGTTTGTTTGGATCGAGGCGATTGGGTACCTGTTTGAAGTAGTTTTTATTGAGTGGGTAGACTTGAAAATGGTTTTTAGGGCCGACCGCGGGCCACCTCGGCCCGGAGGAATGAGCTCGAACGATTCGTAAGGCGTGGCTCAAACTCTTGAAAGCTGACGCAGAGAGAAAGCGTAAATTTGGAACAACTCCAAAGAACTCGAAATTTTTATTCAATAATACTGTGCTCTTGATTACAAGACGGACATCTTATATATAGAGATAGGACTCCTAATACTAATGGAAACCGAATAATTAAAGAAACTGCCTGAATGGTAATATAGGAAACTGCCTAAATGATAATATAAGAAACTGCCTTATTGGTAATATAGGAAACTGCCTAACTGATAATATAGGAAACTGCTTGAATGATTGTTTTCCCCAAAATCAGAAAAACTGCCGAGATTTCCGATGATTACGGCGATCACATTGTTCAAGATAATCACAGGCTAACTGTTCTACATCAAAAGCTCATCCTTTTGGTTGACTCTAGTTGTGCATAATAAGAGATCATGACTTTGTCATTTGAGTTCTCTGGCTAAAACGATGAGAACACCGGTTTCTCCTATATATTACTAGCTTTACCTCAAGAGTCGAAACAATAATTATACCCATAGAAATTCCTTTGGTGGATCAGTCAATTTAGGGCCGAACCTTAAGTTGCCTCTTGACTCCTAAAGCGTAATTAAGGGTTAGGTAAGGCTATGTACATTTGCATAGCATGACATCTTTTCTTTATGTGGTTAATTTTGTGTCGACCCGAACCTGTTAAGCCTTTGACGATATGCGGACTCTTCAACTCTTGTGAATTGCTAATCACATTTCATGCTTGATAAGGATCTTGCAACTTCATCATTTTGTGGTCTCACTCTACTCTTTTATATACAAGTGTATACGTTGTTCACGGAGATCAAACTCCGAACTTAGTACTTCCTGTCCCCATCCCCCAATCCTTTTACCAGTAGCTGCATGCCTGTTGACAGCTATATCAAATTAAATGTCAACAGCTATTTCGTTGCCAAAATGAAGGGCTAATACATTCATGGAGCTCCCTCGATTACCATAAAACCGAGGTGCATCTTGATTGCCTTTCCTAATCAAGAGGTAGAAGGCATGACTTTGGATAATAGAGCAAAAAAAAAAATAATTCTCTATAATCATCTTTTGGCAGTGACTGGCAGAAAACGAGTTGATGGTGGAACTTAGTGGAGCAACGTATAGCAACAAGCGCATCATCAGAAGGATGTCACGAAGCTTATGATATACAACATTATCTCAATTCACCTTAACTTTACCATCGTCCAAATTCATGATGATTAGGTGCTTTTGAAATATGAACTGACTTGTAATTAGATTCGGGCGTCGTGAATTTCACCACCCATTTCGAAGAACAACTTTTGTTGTTGGACGGCCCCTCTGAACATTACTTTGTAATTTAAGGATAGAAATTTTTTACCTTCATTGGTGCTTTCATATGGTGTCTCTATTGTCTCAACCATCGGTCCACATGAAACCGTCCAAGCGTACTTACTTAGAGCTTCAGAGGTTACGAGTCCTCGCTGTAATTTTTAGAAAACTCCATATATATATTTCGCGTAGTTTATAAACTTTAATACCTAAAATGCAGCTTTTAATAAAATCAGGGAATTGTATGAGCAGTTGGGCCCAATACGGCCTTGTGGAATTTCAAATTACTCCTCTTAGTGTAAACCCATCAAAGGCAGGAAAGAACTAAATCTTGAAAGTAGATGGCCCAATTGGGAAAAGCCCTATTCCTGAATAAGGGCACAAATAGAGATGAAGAGTGTCCCTTTTGATTTTTATGACAAAATCCACCTTAAATAGGTAAAAAAACGAAATCCGATAAGACCCGAGCCCAAGACATTATGTGGCTTAGGTAAGCTCATCGGGTGACAAAATGGCAATTTAAACCGAACGATATCTAAAAAACGCACTTCGGACTTTATGTGAAGAGCGACGTCAGATTTATTAATATCGTTTTTATAAGACCGGTTTATTACATGATGTGCCAGACTATGATTGACCCTTTCGATAGGCAATTTAAACAGATCGGTTTCTATGGAGAACCGACTACGATCCGATACTTCGATTAACAAAAAAGAAGAAGTTATGAGCAAAGGGTAACATTTCTCTTATTTGTGTGAAAAGGGCCAACAAAAAGAAGCAGATTATCATTGGAGCATGACTCAAATCAGCATCTCCGGTCTATAAGCGGCGTCTCGACTCGTTTGGATTGTAAAATCCGCTAGGTTGACCAATATTTGACTAGTGTAGAGGGAGAGTATTTTCTTCTTATTTAATCCAGATTTCACAAGTGAAATTTCCTTCTTCGTTTTTTTCCTGTCCTCTGCACTTACTTTGCTTTTATCCTTTTCTTTTCTCTTGTGCATCTTGATTTCTCTTTTTTCCACTAGCTTTTCTTTAATACGTACATGGATTAGAAAAACACAAAATTGTTTGGCAACATTCTTGAAGAATCTTTGGCAAAATTAGATGGCCGGTGAAGATTAGACTGCCACGTCGGCGATAATTGAGGAAAGTACCAATAAAGTCATAAACTTATTGTATTGGTACCAATTCAGTACTAAACCTTTTGTCCAATCTTTTTTACATATGTACCAATTGAGTACATCCGATCAATTTATGTTGAAAATTGCTGACATGAACGCTGGCCAGCTGTTTTACGCCACACGGGACGGCTGGCGCTAACGTGAACATTTTTTTAATATTTTTTTTTTTTCAGAATTTTTAATTTTTAATTAATTTTTTCTTTTCCTTTTTCTTTTCTTCTCTTTTTCTTAATTTCTTTTTTTTTTCCATGAGCTCCGTCAAGGGTCACCAGATTTGGCCGAGGTTGGGTGAGGGTTGCGACCCTTACCCAATGTCCGGCGAGCTCGCCGGAGCTAGGGGAAAAAAAAAAGAAAAGAGGGAAAAGAGAAGAAAAGAAAAAAATTAATAAAAACTAAAAATTTCAGAAAAAATAAAACTTGTTTAAAAATTATAAAAGATGTCCACGTCAGTGCCAACCATATCACGTAAGATGACTGATTTCAACGTCAAAAATTTTCGGTCTAAATTTGAGGGATAGACTCAATTTGTACTAATGTGAAAATGTTTAGGACTAAATCGATTAGATTGAAAGGTTTATAACTGAATTGGTACTAATGCAATATGTTTAGG